ACCTCAAGGTTTTGTAGAGCAACACGCCTTTTTCTAAGTATGTTGTTGATGTATGGTTCAGAAGTAGGAGCTGTTTCAGAAGTAGGAGCTGCTTCAGAAGTAGGAGATCTCCTACCGTGGCCCGTTGCCCAATGGTGCGCGGGCATCGTTGCCGCTGCCCGCCAAGGACGGTCAATGCCCGGGCATTAATGCCTCAATTACATTGTGGAAGACGATGCCCAAATCGCGCGGGCACCGTCGTCAATGCCCGGGCAAAAACTGACTTTGCCCGAGACCCGGACGTTGCCCGTAACATGTATATCTCTTGTATGTATCTATGGTTACGCACCCCCACTTGTCTTTCTGGTCCTTTTTCACGCTTATACATGCTTATCTGATCCAGATAGATTTGAGGAAAGTCGAAATCGGGGGGACTGCGGCCCCTATCCGACCCCCAAAGTGGCATGAGAGGAAAATGAATGAAAGAGAAGAAAGTGGCTAAATGGCAGAGAAAATGGCACGAGGGACCACGACCTTTTATGGGTAAAAGGGCGAAAAACCTAAGGAAAGAGAAAAGAAAATGGCAAACTAGAGAAAGAAAGAACTTAACCTAAACTGGATACCCCCCGCAAATATACACAACTACTCACATGCTGATCTGAATAAGGCTAGGATGGATGGCGGCGGCCAAGTCCAAGGCGTAGGGGGGTGGAAGCTCCATGGCAAACTCACATGTCCGCGGCTCAAAGGTGATGCATAACTAGAAATAATAAAAGGCGTGGCGACGGCGTAAAAACAAAACTCAAAACTCATAGCAAAGGTGCAAAGGCGTAAAGCTAACTACACGGCGACGGCGTAATGCAAAACGGGGAGAATGAAACACAACCACCTGCTACTGCGCACAGAAATTAAGTGGAAAAGTTTGATCATGTATTTTTTTGATCAACTTTGATTAAAAAATTATGAGATTAGTCTTCAAAATAAAGTCAAGTAAGGTAGAAAATCACTGTAATCATTCTTCCACATCTGCATCAGAGTCTGAATCATTATCGTCGTCTGCACTTCCTGTAGTCGGCCACTTCAAAAGATGTTTGTAAAATACATGGGGTTTTACGATACTTCCATCTTTGAGAGAAACTTCATCAGGGATGTATGAAATCAATTTCTTGACGTCATCTAACTTCGCTTTCTTGATTGGAACTTTTCCTGCAGGATAGGCCTTAGCAGTGGGCGGTTGAACTTTCGCAGACCCAGTCTGTCTGAGTTGGAAGGTGCTTTTTTGATATACTATATCGTCTAATTCTGTCGCGGTGAAAGCAGAATTTTCAGGGCCACGTTTGTTCACATACTCAGTGACGATATTTTCGTCCAGGTGACCGTCTATGAAATGCCTCCTGACTCAGGTACCATAAGTCGGTAATTTAGGAGCACTTCCTCTCTCTCCGATTTCTTAAAAGTAATCAAATGTTCAGTTTTAGATGGCTCACAACCAACATGCACCGATGGTGGTTATTAGAGGTACGCTTCAAAGATTTCAGCTGAATTTTGCCGTTTGTTTTGTCAGATTCGACAGACGCCGACTGTTTTTCTGGCATACACATACGAATGTTGACATCGCAGGCTTTACAGTACCACTTTTCATGTCGGAAGACTTTGTCTTTCCTAGCTGCTTTTTCTAGACTTTTATCACAACTCGCACAATGTTTATCCATTTTCCTAGTTTACAAGAAAAAAACAAGAAACAAAAGGAAAGGTTGCACCCTCATATAATCATCCGCGATAATCATCCGCTGTCGAACGTCGAGCACCCGAACAATATTTTCAACTTTCCCGGGTTTCGGCACCAAATGAAATTTTGAAAGACTTTAACTAGTTGATTTTGTAGAAAAGTATAGATGTACAAAGACAAAGGAAGATTTTTAAAGATTGAGCTTTTTTATAACGGAGATAATTTTTAGTACAGGAAAAGGGTAGACAGAGATTAAGACTGAAAATTTTGTAACTATAGCAACCAAGGGGGACCCGCTTCACGCAAATTGCAATTAGTGTTGAATGACATCTAATCACTTCACTAAGAGGTCACGCCTCAAGTGTAATCCAACGCAGACTAATTTAATCTCACTGATTGCCGATGTGTTTCCACGCCGTGAAAAATCTCCGTTCGCAGTGGACATCACATAAGTCCAGTAATCTGCAGATAATCAGGATATGTCGTCAGCGTGCGGAGATTTGCCACGTGTTGAACCGCGACATCGAGCATTGAGCTGAAGTACCAATGCATGAACTCTGCCCTCTGAATAGCATAGCAAGATGCCAGATGTCATTTAATTGGTCTAAATTTGATGGATAAATATTTCACACTCAAATTATTCACTCCTATATTACAATTAATGCTACATTAACATCTTGAGTTGTATTATTTTTCAACTGAATTCTGTCTCAGCAGAGAGGATAAATTGTATGAAATATAATTCTTAAGATAAAAACGATTCACTCAAAATTGAATGCAAAAAATTCAAATATTTGCACACAAAAAATCTAGAATTAAAATGAATGATAATAAATACTATTTACAGGTCTGTACGTACAACTTTAGATTTCCTCTTAGACTTTTGGCACAATTTTTGGATTTTATCTGCGATGTATACGTTTAATCGGTTCAGACGAGTCTCTTCACTGGCATCTCCTTCGACGGTACTGGATTTGACTCTCTTCTCATACAAACCTAAAAGCAAAGATCGGAAAATTTTAGATTCAAAAACATAGGCATGATGAAAGGAAATACTGTAAAATGCAATATCCCAGTTTAAATATAGATTAATTTATTTGCACACAAAAAATCTAGAATTAAAATGAATGATAAGGAATACTATTTACAGGACTGTACATACAATTTAAGATTTCTTCTTGGACTTCTGGCACAATTTTTGAATTTTGTCTGCGATGTATACATTAGATTAAATGTATACATCTGTGTACATCATGTGTACTGTTTAATATCCTCGAATACACCTTCTTGACTGAGGTATAAGCTCAAAGTTCCTTCTATAGACATGAAAGCACTTGACTCTTTAACAGGAACGAGTTGATAAGACGTTACAAACTTGTACTTACTTGAAATCCGACAAAATACTTTCCTCCTTCGTTTCCTGCGTTTAAAACCTGGCCCAGACCAATTTTTATTGGCGAAATTTATAATTGTTTATCTTCAAACAAGTTTAAATGTTGATAGTTGGATTTCAATTTTGAAAAAGCATTTTCAATGAAAGAAAATTCTTCTCTGTATTTGCAGAGACAATATTAAACTGCTCTGGGTTCAGATTTTTACACAGACCGGAAATTTGCATTTTGAAGAAAAGAGTCGCGTCTTGCATAAGGCTATTGACGTGATCAATCGGCAGCTGAACTTGGGAGGCATTGATTGATGGGATACCATTTAACAGTGAAGAGAAATTAATCATTTTTTCACTTATGATTTCTTTCATTACTTGCTGGTCTTCACACAATTTATCCCCATTCCTAGTATCGAAAGGAACAGGACAGATGGCAGGAGTTTGAATGAAAGTACCATTCCCATTACTGCGTTCGATATTGTCACCACTTGGTGAAGAAGTATCATCCCCTGTGCCTAGAACGATAGGTGAAGGAATTGGCATACCAACATGTTGACGTAAGTCAGCTGATGAAAGAGAATTCTGAAGATGTACTAATTCCTTAGCGTGTGCGCTAGAAAAATGTTTCGTGGATGAAGGACGATTGGTATAAAAATACGAGGGCAACCATTGAACATGCATTGCACAGGTTCATTCTGTTTCATGTCATGGCCTGCTTCAGCTTTTTTTTCTTAAAATGGAGAATCAAGTCATTGAGGGACTGAAAATTTCTTTTGCACTTGAAGAACTTTAACATTTTTATGTAATAAGTTTAAAAGTACTTAAGGTAACCGACCCAGTACCCGTCACCTTAAGCACCTTGCGAACTTTGAGAGCCTGTAAATACCTGTGTGTATACCTGTACATACAATTTGTTGTATTATCTGTGTGTAGAATTACTTTGGCTTTCATTTGTGACCAAGTTCATTAAAATCGGTCAAGTATTAACTCAACCACGGAAGAAAAACGAAAAAATGCCGAAAAGTACCAGTTTCCGGCACTTTTTGCCTATCTCCGTCATCCTGACCCCAATATCCGTCACCCGTTTGTTTACATCAATCTAACCTCAATTTTTCGGCGGGATCTTTGAAATATCAGCGGAAAAGACGAAAAAATAAGAAATTGCACTTGAATGAAGAGGAATGAAACAAAATATTTATTTAACAGAAGTTACCTACTTGTTAGTCTCTTAAAATGTAACTACTCAGGATATTCAGTCAAAAAGTTGCACTGAAAAAAGAAGTTTTTTTTTTTCAATTTAAAACAAAAATTGTACCTAGTTGAACTTAATAAGTACTTACTTAGACAAAGTCATGACACAAAGGAGAAAAACTTAAAATTATTTAACACTGGTGGGTAAATTATTTTCTCACTAAATAATTTAATAATTCACTATTCCTTATTTAAATAAATAAAAATTCAGAGGAACAAAAAAACAAAGTAAAAATTCTTAGGTAAAGTGTCTAAAGACATGTTTGGGCAAAAAGTAAGAATGCACATCAATGCACTAGAGTACCTATTGGAACACTAGAATAAAAATAAACTAAAGGTTTATTAAATACAGTTAAGCACCTCAAGTACCAAAAAAAGAGAATGAAAAACACAGAAAAAATTCAACTAGAGAATTTGTGTCAGTAAACCTAAAAAATGAAAAATTAGGAAAAGGATGCCTCATTATGACATATTGACGAGGCTCAAATTGTAAGGCATACTTAAGCACTTAAGCAGGTAAGGTTCAGGAGTAAAAGATAAAAAAAACCTTTGACCAAGGTTAAAAACATATGTGAGGAAATAATTCAAAGTTAAGGGAGAATGATCACAGAGAAAAAAATAAAAAAAAACAGCGTAATTACCACTCACTATACTCACTCATCTCAGGGAGTCAGGGACCTTATAGAATCCTCTTTTATTGCATAATACAGGCGGTTTAATGACAGTTTGAATGTCACTGAATTCGTATTCACAAATGTCATCTCTAAGCGGCCACTTCCAGATTCCAATGCCGGCTGGTTTCATTGTTTTTACTGTCGCTGTCTCATCTATTTTTGTAATTTGACCTGGAAAATACTCTTCTTCATAAACGACAATTACATAGTCTTCCTTTTTAAATGTTTTAGAGTTACCGCTATCTGATAGGACATCATCTTCATCTCCTACAGCTTCCTCATTGTCAGGAACATCAGCATCCTCCTCCTCCTCCTCAATGCAGTAATTTTGTATCTCCTTCTTTGATGGTTTTCGCTTTTGTTTATTTTTTTTCTTCTCTTCTGCAGCCGCTAACTTCAATTTTTTCTTCTCCTCTCGTTCCTCTTTCCTCCGTTTCTTCTCATCTTCAGCATCTTGTTTTGCTTTTTCTTTTTCTTCAACTATTTGCTGCCACTTCTTCGAGCTGATGATGCTGGGTAACGTCTCTTTGGATCGCCTTTTTTTAGTTGACTTCTCGTTGTCTGGCCACATGAGAGCACGCTTAGATGGTGAATATTCATCTAGGAGTTTCCTTGGTGACTTCCTGGTGGGTGTCTTGAAAGTCAGCCTCGCCTTCTTTGGTGTGGATTGCAGGGAACTTGTAGCAGTGTCATTTGCAGACCTCTTTATTGTCGGAGATATATTCAGGGTTGAAGATGTCTTTGGGGTTGAGTCACATGTTGGAGTCTTAACTGCGATAACATCACGACCTACTGGATAGGGTGTCCCTTATTTTTGAAATTTGAGAAAAGTTAAGCTCCCCAGGTCTCAAAACGTCCTATGAGGTGTACAAATAAGGAATGTTTTTTGGAAAAAATTTTAAAAAAATTTTTAGGACTCTCTCAAGCGCCCTAAAGGGCGTTAGTCGAAAATGTTCATTTCTGGTAGAGTGGATAGTCAATCCTAGATGAAATTGACGAATTAACGCCTGTAAGGCGAAAATTTTGTCCGTTTGGTCGTATCTTTGATCGTTCAGCCGGTAAACCGACTTAAATGGGCGGGAAGTCGAGCCGCGGCCGCGCGACGCGCGCGGCTGACCGAGACACGCGGCCGGCGGCCGCGCGCGGCGACGCGCGTGGGTTGTGAGTGAGGAACATGTACTCATACACAGCTAAACGTAGTGCAGGAAGCAACGATGGGGAGGCTGCAAAAAAAGACGAAAAAAAGAAACGGGGCGTTTCATAATATTCACTTCTCATGCTCAACTGGAAATAAAGAAAAATAAAAACATAAATAAATAAATTATTAAATAAATAAATGAAAATAAAAGGCTAAACACGAGTTGTTGATTCGCTGTTATTGCGAGACGGAGACTCAATGTTGTTCTTCAGAGGGAGGACAATTAAAATTCTGATAAGGCTCTTAAAAATTAATATAAATTATTCAATGTTTAAAAACTTCTTCGGCATGAAATTAGTTAAGCGTACCATCGTGTCCATCGTCCAATCAATTTGACGGCCCTTTCAGTATGGTCCTTCACTACTTCAAGGGCTAAAACAATTTGGTACATATGTATGTATTCCGGGCTTTCTGGCCAATATACTGGGTCTATATCTAAAAATGCCGATGAAATACCAAGAATGTCAACAAAAAGCCATGCTATTTTTTGTAAATAAATCAGTCAGTCTGGTGAATTCCTCAGGCAGAGCATCTCGACGTCTGAGTGGGGCAGGGAGGCCTGAATTATGTTTTAAATTATAAACACACAGCATCTTCTTCTCCGACGAAATTCTCTTATTGAAAAGAGACAGAGGGACGAGCACTTCACTCAAGTACCACTAGTGATTTGAAAATTTCTGTAGAGCTCGCCTCCTGCTAAAGGATCAAATTTTTCAAATTCTACTAAGTCTTCAATGAGCTGAAGGTCATTTTTGGGAGCGCCAGCAGAATGGGGAGAACGAAACGGATATTTTATATACACCTTAACAATAAACAATATTAACGTGAAGAATTCCTTTTTGTTTCTCTCCTGTAAGGGGGAACTAATTACGAATCGTCCAACTTGCGTAGTAACATATTTTTGGCAACAAAAGCAATATTAGATAGTTTAACAAAAGTCAAAGATTATCAAAATTTTTCGATGTCATTACCTAGAATTGAAAGGGCCGTCAAATTGATGCAAAAATTTAATAAGAAAGTTGAAAGTGAGCAAGATTTCAAGATTTACTACAAGCATGTCTCACTTCACAAACAATGTTCATAAAATATCCAAAAAAATTCTAGCTAATGACATCGAAAAATTTTGATAATCTTTGACTTTTGTTAAACTATCTAATATTGCTTTTGTTGCCAAAAATATGTTACGCGCCGCGCGTGGCCGCCGGCCGCGTGTCTCGGTCAGCCGCGCGCGTCGCACGGCCGCGGCTCGACTTCCCGCCCATTTAAGTCGGTTTACCGGCTGAACGATCAAAGATACGACCAAACGGACAAAATTTTCGCCTAACAGGCGTTAATTCGTCAATTTCACCTAGGATTGACTATCCACTCTACCAGAAATGAACATTTTCGACTAACGCCCTTTAGGGCGCTTGAGAGAGTCCTAAAAATTTTTTTAAAATTTTTTCCAAAAAACATTCCTTATTTGTACACCTCATAGCACGTTTTGAGACCTGGGGAGCTTAACTTTTCTCAAATTTCAAAAATAAGGGACACCCTACTACTGGAGCTGTGCCATCCAAAACTCCGGAAGTAGCATGAGAAGGACCTGGTTGGGAAATGAATGTAGATCCTGCAGGTATATTTTCAAGAACATGAGAAGGACCTGGTTGAGGAATGAATGGAGATTTTGCAGATAAATTTTCAGGAGTTGATTGAGCACGTACAGATAAATGCTCAGGAGTTGATTGGGCATCAATGGAATTTTTCTGGGGAGGCAAATCCACAATATTCTGGGAAACTTTTTGCATTTCTTTACTAGGGGCTGAGATTGAGGTGATATTCGCTGACGGAGAGCTACTCAAAGTGGGATTGTTGTTCAAGACAGGACTTAAGATGTTTCCTAAGTACTCATCTGAAAGGACAGCATCTACTGTAGCAAGAATGCGGAATGCGGGATCTTCCTCATCAAAGAATGATGTTAAGGAAGGAACATCTAGCGAAAGTGATTGGTATGAAGGAGTAGGATTGATTTCAATCTCCTTCGAAATAAAAGCAGACGGGGGTGACTGATTGAGTTTCAGAAGTCATCACCTCATTATTTTCAGCTGACTCTTCTGCTTTATCCCAGAAATGACGCCACATTAAAAACAGAGTAGTGTCTTCTTGCTTAATGAGCTCTGGCCATGTCGGACTATTTTTGCAGCTGATGAAGAATTCTAATTTGTCTTCATCCAGAAACTCATTGATTTTTTTTAACGCTACCTGAAATTCATTGAAATGAGCGCTGATGTTTTCCTCACTGGGTGTTTTCTGTCCTGCTATAACTGTTTCCTGAATTGCATCAGCTGGTTTCATAGGTTGGATTTGCTGGCTGGGGAGGTTGGTCTCTTCACGAGAGCGAATTTTAGAGTAATCAACAGCTGTGGCACTCCAGGGCAGCAGACCGCATTTTTTGAAACCATTTTTCATGGTGTCAGGCTCTAGAGATCCCCGAATACATTGACTAAGCAATGGACAGAAGTCTGCTTTTCTGATGATGGGTTGTTGTTTCAACTCTGAAATCATTTGTGGTCTGGACCCAATTTCTTTTTAAACTTCGAAACACAGCAACATCCAAGGGCTGCATTATGTGGGTCGTATTCGGTGGCAAGGTGACGAGAATAATTTGATTCTCCTCACAAAATTTGCTAAGTTGATAGGTCACGTGGGACTTGTGGCCATCAACAAAAAATAATACTGGCCTTTTTATGCCTTGTTTCTCCACCCAGTCATTGAAAATATTGGCCATGAACTCATAAAATCCTTTAGCTGTCATCCAGCCGCTGTCAGCAACACCAACACCCCAATCTGAGGGAACTGATTCAAGGATGGCTTTAGGGACCCGGACATATTTGAAAATGACGGTGGGAGGAAGGATTTTCCCAGCAGCATTAATAGTCATAAGGACAGTCAAGCACTCCTTTTCGTTGGTGCTTATCAAATTATAAACATCTTTCATGCCCCTTTCACATAGAACTTTGGTGCCTTTGGGGTTGAAAAAGAAGGCAGCCTCGTCCGCATTGAATACCCGTTCAGGATCTTCCAAAATTTCCCAGTATCCATTCTCTTTTAGATATGCCTCCACTTCAATGAACCATTTTACTATTGTTTCTTTGGTCACGCATGCTCTGGAAATGGTTAAATTTTGGGGCGTTCGCAGTCGCACTTCAGGATGTCTTTTTAAAAATAGCTTTAGCCATTTCTTACCCGGGGTGTTGTTGGTGAAAGGATTCTCTCTCTTCAACTCTTCAATATATTTTCCTGCACTGATGAGAAGTTGCTCATCGTTGATAGGAAAGCCGGTTTTACTGCATGTGAAGATCCAATTTACTAGCTTAGCCTCTTCTTCAGGGGTAAAAATAGAGCAAGGACCTTTTCTTGCATCGATTCTGCTGATGCCATGCAGTTTATCAGATAGAGTTGTTCTTGGGACATTGTGGTCTAAAGCGGCTCTTTTTATAGAAGCTCCGTTTTGAACAGCATCAATTGCGGCTAATAGGTCTTTCTTGCTGTACACCATATTGTTTAGATCTTAATACCTGGGCAGAAACATGTCAGTAGATTGATAAAAATGCAGGGAGATACACCAGAAAGTTAAAAAGGAGACTCTTCTCACCAACAGCACCCTGTCCCCCCTCAAGGAGTAACTGATTTGAAGAAGACACCTACAAGTTCGACTTCGTAAGCCCCAAAATCTGACGATTTTGAGAGCATACATAACCATATATTTTTATTTAAATATAGTTCTTGTAGTACAGATGGTATCTTAGAGAAAATGAATGATGTGGAATTTTGCAAGATCCTTCACAAATGTTAAACTCTGATGAAGCGTTAGCAACTCCTTGTTGAAGCCTTATTCATATGTAGATTCATACAGCATGACTGAAACTGAAGTCTGCTGCTTCCCCATTACTGCTCCAAACAGTGGCTGGATGATTGCAAAGGGATTCCATGAGTTAATGGCCAATACATTGAATGACTGGGTGTAGAAAAAAGGAATGGAAGCACCAGTTTTGTTTCTTATTTTCTATAGCAACACTGCAAACGCTCCTTCTGCCAGTCCATGACCTTATTGATGTAGTAGACTGCCATCTGATACATCAAGAAGATTATAGACTTGAATATGAAGGAAAGATGGCCAATCTATAGAAAAATTCGGTCCAATTTCAATATGCACAGCTGGAATCGCCTTTGCTTGGGCCAATAGTGGGCGCTGTGCTGGCAAAAAACAAATATTCACTCACGGATGAAATTGAATTTCACCTTTTTCTCCATTATTCCCCAGGAGCCACATAAACTTACTTAAAGAATCTGGAAACCATTTCAGAAGTACCTCCATAGTAAAAGCAGAGAAAATCTACTTACCACCATGCAAAATAGGTTCCGCCTCAAAGAGCTTGCGGTGAACAGAAAAAAAATCACTATCTCACGAAGATTCTTAGGAGTTATACATACCCCTGAGCATAATGTTGCTTTAAAACCTTATCAGATAGAGGAAATGTAAATTATGTCGTTTATGTAGTCGGAAAATTTGCAGAATAGCTTGTTTTTCCATGAAAACAAACGTGTGACGGATATTGGGTTTGGGTAAAAACGCGCGAGACCAAAACCCGGCACGGGCTGCCGGATATTGGTTTTTTCGCGAATTGCCGAACCACTACCGTCACGATGACATTATCAAGTAAATACGCGACGAATTTGGCTTTACTTGGTGTCAATCAGTAGCTGAATTCTTCCTGAAAACATACATGTATCACATCAATACTATCTAACAAATATCAAAGAGAAAATGACAATTTTCACCATCGAAATCCTTACCGATTTTGCCATGAAAATAGATTACGGGGGACGTGTTCGCCGACATGCGATCTTTGGAGGACTAACCTCATTCATTCCTTGAATGTAAACAATATGATGTTTATGTATTAGTGCTGCTCTCTACGTCTAGTTTCTGGAACTATATTTAGTTTATCACAGAGTTGCCTTCCTCCCTATTTATTCCCAATAATGTTGCAGAGGTGACGGGTACTGGCTCGTGCCGGGTACTGGGTCGGTTACCTTAATGCATTAAAATTAAAAATGAAAATGCGACGGAAGTTAAAGATAAGAATAAAGAGCAGAGATCCAGAATGGTCCAGTTTGAGTATTAATTTTCAATCTTGAGTAAAGGTGACATTCATCTTGTGTTAGCCTTCACCAAAGTACTAATCCCACTGACGTTGAAGAATAACATTTGCGCAGATGTAGCGTCAATGAAGACTTCAATTTTGAGTAAAAGAATGACATAATCCTTGTTTTTACTTCCACCAAAGTACCAATCGTAAAAGGATAAGATTTCTGTAGATCGTCTGTTTGAGATGAAAATCCAAAAATAAAAGTAAGAAGGAGACATTTTTAATATTATGTATTTATACAATATTGAAACGTATTATGTTAAGTTGACAGTTTGGTCTGTCGTCTTTTTTCAAGAGATGAAGGAGAGGTGCTAACAGTTTGAAGTGATCAAGATGAAATTTACGGTAGAAATTGACAAGACCTATGAATGATTGTAAAGTTTTCTTATTTTTCGGTGTAGGAAAGTGAAGGATGGCTTGCAGTTTGTCAGGGTTTTTCATGACACCAGTTTTAGAAGTGACAAAGCCGAGGTATTCTACCTCTTCCTGGATGAATGAACACTTATTAAATTTAAGTGTCATGCCTGCCTTTTTGACGGACGAAAAAACAATTTTAAGGTGTTCCATGTGCTCCTTCCATGAGCTTGATACTACACGCAAATCATCAACATATTTTGTCAGAAAGTTACCCGTTTCTGGCCCAAACACAGTGTTTGTGGCCTTTATGAATAACTGCATGGCCACATTGAGACCAAAAAGTACTTGGGTGAACCCATAGTTGCGCCCTTCAAAGGAGAAGCTAGTTAGATCTCGGCTCGCCGGATCTAATTTTATTTGGAGTTTGGATTGTAGCCGAGTGCTAGAAATAATGCAAAAATGTTTTAAAAAAACACTTACATTTTATTAACGATTTTATACCGAAGCTTTTCGAAGCGAACGCTTCATCGTCAGGGTCACAAAATCAATATCACAAAGGCCATATTTTAAATTTCAAAGAAGGTAACATATTTCATTGATGGCAACAATCGATAACGAGCTATTCTTATTTAGTTAAAATTAATTTTATTTAGTAAAAACTTGCCGTGAAGTCTAAGGTACTAATAAAGTTGGGTTGGCTAAATCGAGATAACAGAGAGTCAACATTTTCTGGTGCTTCAGCATCAGTTATTAGTTTGGCGTTCAGAGTTCTAGATGACAAGCTATCTTACTTGTAGAGGAATGAGAATGTTCCTTAGAGCGATGGTTCGAACTTGAGGTAGATTCCAAATTTGAATGAGTAGAGGGTGATTTCCCAGAAGAGGTTAATACGCTGTTTTCGGTTGATGCGTGGTTTGAGTTATTTCCTATTGATATAGGTTTGTACTTACATTGTTCTCTGTTGTATTAGTTTTCAATTTGTTAACTTCCGTTTGAATTAAGCGAGGAATTTCTTGACATACAGACTCGAGTTGACTGCCAAAATGCATGGTCAGTTCTTTCACTTGTTTTGTGAGAGCTGCAAGTTGAACATTAGGAATATTTTCTTTAGGATTTACAAATGTAGGTAGGGGTGTATTGGTTAGTTCCGGATTCATAACAATTATACTGGGAGTAATTGGCCGGGGATAAAAATTATTAGAAGGCAAGTATCCTTGATTACGAGTAGGTTCGAGTGGAGACGGGTTACATAATCCTGTCAAGTAGATAAAAAAAAATTAACTACGAATAAAATATCAGTAAAGAGGAACGATACCAAGACAAATAAATGATGATTCTCGAACGAAGTCGCAGAAAAGATGAGAACAATCCACAGCTGGAAGAGAAGAGAAGAAATTGGAAGGCCAAGAAGATGTGATCTATGTCCCTTGCTGAGTGCAGATCGGAAACCCACGGTGTGAAAGCGGGCAAAACTCAACGCACTCCAACTGCTGTCCACCCACGTTGGTGCTTGCACATGTAAAGGTAAGAAAAAATGCAAACGAAAATTGTACGCCCTTTTTCCGAATGACCATTATTCACGAACGGTTTTTTTTTTCATTTCTTTTTTTAAAAATTTAACAAACAAACCAAAACGGATAGAACGAGCTTTTGAATGAAAATTATAGAATGCATTGATAGTGGGAACTTTGTCTCTCGATAAAATTTTGCGGGCAACAAAGCGTGACGGGAGGAGAAAAATTCCTGATAGAGGTTCCTGAAAATAAGTAAATTCAAGTATAAATTTATAGGAACAAAAATTTATTCAAGAAGACAGAACCAATTATTTTTTTATGCCAATCAGTTTTGCCAATTAAAATTCCCTCCCGGAGGGTTCAGCCGCATGAAAGTGCCGCCCTGCAAAGGAGGTGAAACTTGGGAAAGTTCCGTATAATTAAACGTGCTGTTCTCATTGATGATGCTAGGGGAGTGGTAACTCATTCAAGAGTCACTCCCGCTTGTAAGAACAGAGGGCGATGGTGTAGGTGCGGGCGAAAGGGGAGTGGGGCCACTAGTGGAGCTGCGCACGTTTTTTGAGTTCAAACTTTGCGGTGGATAATTCAATTCTTTCATATCATAAGTAAAAATAACATTGTTTTTTTCATGTTCTGCCATAACCCTGTGCGTCTGATTATAGCCCCTAAGCTTATCAGCTATATATTTTCCGTAAATAGAAAATGCGTCATCCTTGGGGAGGACAGGTGCAGGAGGGGTGGGAGCTGTACTCGTGCTCAAACTGCTCGCAGCGCTCGGCTCGTTCTGTTCGTTCGTCCTAAACGCTCTAGTGCGTACCCAGCTTAAAATTCGCTTTCCGCGAGTTTTTTTTCGCCTTGAGATGTCGTGCCTGACTGGTAAATCTGCGCAGAACCACCGAAAAACGAATTCAGGCAAATTCTTTTATTTGGGAGGTTCCGATTGGTTATTTTTCGCCATCAGTTTTCTGTTCGTTGGTGCCAAAGATCGCCTACCTCGTTGCTCTTGAGAAGCCGCCATTATCCCACCTCAAATTTTAAAAACAATACAAGTTGTCTAAATATCGAAAAAATAAAAAATCGAATATAATTGTTGTGGATATAAATATCGAAGCTGACCAAAGTTTTCAGTAGTGGAACACTCTGAATTCAATATCAAGTCAAGTTTTTGACTTTGATTGAAGTAAGAAACGAATAGAAACGAATATAATTATTGTGGATATAAATATCGAACCTGACCGAAGTTTTCTGTAGTGGAAGACATTCTGAATTCAATATCAAGTTAAGTATTTGACTGATTGCTTTGCAACGTTCACTTCTTAAGATTGCTCCTTTGAGGTTGTTACCACTGGATGGATCATTTCTGAGGAATGTTCCTGTGAAGTTGATTGCTTTGGATTGATCACTTCTGAAGAAGTTTCCTATGAAGTTGATTGCTTTGGATTGATCACTTCTGAAGTAGGTCCCTGTGAAGTTGA